GAGCCAGGAAAGTTTTGTTCAGCTATCTTCAGTCCCTTTACTATTAGGTCAAACAGTCGCACCTAATAGTGAAGTGTGGTACTATAACCTAGCTTTATTTGACTTAGAAGATGCTCACTTAATCAAAGAGGAAATAAATAAAAATGTGATATCTAAAGATTTCATATAAAAGAGAAAGCTCAAAATTTGAAGATGAAGCAAAAGTGTCGGTAATAGTTATGGCCATCATGTTAATTCTTTCTCTGAAACTCAACGATTAAAGGATTTTTTAATCATAAAAACATAGTGCCAATTCTTTAATAATAGTTTAGGAAATTGAATTTAAATTTTAGAAAGTCGTCCTATAGCCATTTCTCCTGTTACAGTTCATTCCTGAAAACGTATGTATTTTGCTCTTAAAAAGAAGTCGTCCTGGTTTCCCAACAATGTGAACATACTGAACTGTACACTTAAAAATGGTTAAGATAGTAAATTTTACATTATATGTTTTTTACCACAATCAAATAATTTTTAAAATAAATGGTCCTCAGCCGCCCTCTTTCTTCAAAGGTCTTTTTAACGCAGAAAGCTGTGACCAACACAAGATAAAGAAGTACTAGGAGAGAAATTGAGGTGGTGCTCACACCCTTGGCCCTGGCATTCCATGCTCCAGTCTTAGGAACGGCTGTGCCCAGGGGGAAATAGATGGTTTGTCTCTAGTTGTTATGATCCCATCCTGCCAGGGTGTTCATTCATTCAGTAGGCATTTATTGAGCGCCTATAACTAAGGCTCTGAGGCTATCATGAAAGCATAGTCCCTGCCCTTGACTCGCTCTAAATCCAGATTCTAGTGCGTGTACTGTCAATATACTTGCAGTCGGAAGAGAAGTAGGCGCCTGTGACAGCTCAGCCTAAGATTTATCCGTTGTTAGCCACAGTCCCATGCCCCATCAGAAGTTCAGATGGCCCCGAGGAGCCCCAGCCTTCCTGTAGCTAGAAATGACCTCCACTTTCTTCACTTCTAAATATGAAAGCATCCAACGTCTCCTCGTTAGCTTCCTCGTCGCCACATCCTGCTCTGACTGCAAGAGGTCCTGGATTTCCCTTAGGAAGCAAAACAAAAGCGGAAAGCAAAATGAACGGTGGAAGCAATGGGAGTCTGTATGTGCCCGGTGGGCGAGAAAATGGAAACAGGTCCCACTGCCATGCCTTCCCCACGCCCTGAGCCTTCTGCTTTCTGCATCCCGGGAAAATCACTAAGAAGCTTTCTCATCCTCAGGCTGGCTCCTGGGGAAGATACTCGTTCATAAAACCTTAGCATTCCCAGTGGGTTGGTGGGAGTTAGATCGAAGGATAGTAGGCCCAAAAGAGAGGTTGGAGTTAAGAAATCTCATTTTATAGTTGAGGAAACTGAAATTCCAAGAGATTAGTAAACTTTCCAAGCTCACAGCTGATTATTGGACAACTTTGGACCACAACTCAGTTCTCTCACCATAATCTACGCCAAGCATGGGACACCTGCATTAAGAGAGTGGAAGTAGACTGTTCAGCTACAGCTGGTCCAATTTCAGGCTCTGGTCACATAAAAGACTTAAAGGTTTTACCTGGTCATTTTACACTTCTTTTTGGTAACTCTATGGATTAAGGTAATAGTGGTAATGCCTATATCCAATAGTCAGTACCAATTGTCACGTGAGACTCCATGAATTTTACACAGAAAGACAGGAGGGCCCACCAGGAAGACTACCATGCTGGTGACTGGACTGTTCCTAGCCTAGTTCCGTGAGAGCTTGGGAAGAGAAGAGAGCAAAGAGATGGAGACCATCAGGACCAAATTCATAAGACCTCTCCACAGCCACACACTTTGGCGAGGCCTCCAACCATGTAGATTCTCCAATGGCCAGTCTGGAGAGCAGGACCCTGACTTTAAGGTCAGTTCTCCAGCTAATGAGATGATGGATATCACTGCTGGCTCTGGAACACATCTCTGTGCGTCAGCATCTTCATGAGGGAGATAATTTATTGTGAAATTCTAATGAAGTTATTGTGAAAATCAAAGATAAAGTGAAAGTTCTTATTAAATTGTATCTAAGTTTAAGATCACACACTTTTTACCAGCATTACATCTATCATCATACAGTACCTTTCCTCTTAAGAACTCCAAGTACAACGTCCTTCACCTACAGAGAGAAAAACAGAGGATTCAGAGGTTGCAGCTCCTGGTGGGTCTTCTAAGATCAGGCAGTCACTCACCTCAGCCATATTGCCGTCAAGGTCTTGAGGGCACCTGAGGCATCAAGTTTCCCAGATTTACCCAAGTTCAAAGTCAGAAGGAACATGAATATTCTATACTGTCTTGAGAAGTGTTTCATAGGGCAGAGTCCATGACCTCTTGTTTCAGAGTCACTTGGGACACTTGTGACAAATGCAGATACCTGGGCCCTGCCCCAGGAACATATTGAATCTGAATGACTGGGGGTGGGACCCAGGATTTGGTATTTCTAGTAATTGTCCCCAGATGTCTCTGAAGTGGTCTAACATTTTAGAATCGGTTTATCCTGATATTAGATCATCCTTTTATGTCGAGACTGTACACTGGAAGGCTGAATCCATAGCGAGTCTTAACCCAGAGAGCCTCCCTCCAGGCAACATTCTTTCAGCAACTTGTAAGACACCACAAGCTGTCAGAATGGGTGGTATAGAGAAGGATATCGCTGATGGCATTTTGGATTTCTGAAGGGGGAAGGGTCCAGCTTTCACTTCCCAAAGAATGGTGGCTTCAACTAGTGGCTGAGCAAGAAGTTATTAATGCAGCAATGGCCACAATTATGTCCTATCCAGACAGATGCTGCCCAAGGGCATGACTTACGCCCAGTCATGGGTTTGACTTTTGCGGGATCTCTGCTCTGGCATTTTTCTAAGACCAGATCACTTTTCCTATATCTGAGAGCTAACAGGATATTTATGAACAATGTCCATAAAATGCTACCATGGGGGTACAGAAACTCTTGATGCCAGGGTTTAGCCACACCTGCTAGTTTAAATCTAGTTAAGTCCCTGTCCCTCGGTTTCTTTAGAAACAAAACAGAAACTCTCTTGCTGTCCTGCCTGTAAGAGGCACGGCCAGCAGAAAGAACCAGGGTTGGCAAAAAGCTGAGTGGTACAGAGGAGAAACCTCAGCCCACCCTCAGATGCCTCCATGGCTCTGGAATTTTCAGCCTCGTCCGAAAATCAAAATGGATTCCACCTGCTGTGGCTCATACTCCGAGTCTTGCCAAGCAGCACACCCAAGGAATAGAACCAAAGGGAAGCCAGCTGCCCCTTCTAATCCTATACAAGTCCTTCCGGTGTTTCTGCACTTGGCCTTTCACCACTCTGCAACTTTAGCACACTCACATTCAGCAGCCCTACTGCCCGCGTTCGCTGCCCTTAGCCCATGTTGGTCTACTGCCAACACTGGCACTGTCGGAACCCACCAGGGCCTTTGTTCACTGGCACCAAGGCAACAGCTCGTGTGCCCCTCCTTCCGGCCTGCCGCATTTCCCTCTCAGGCGGCCCTGAGATAGCACTTCTCTCAAAGCAGACTTGAAATTATTGGTGGTTTAAAAAAAAAGAGCAAAAAGAGAAAGAGAGAGATTAGGGAGACTAGATAATGACTTACACTCAAAATCCTCAAAATCTAAGGTCTTTAGCGAGGCCTCCAAATATTTGGATTCTCCAACGTTTATTTTTTAAAAGAGAATCTGAATTTTAAGTAGAAGTCTCAGATTAACGAAAAGACTCCAAATGATTAATTATGGCTGAGAAAGTTAGCAAGATAAAATGGAGAAACTGATTTCAGTTTCTGTGGACTGCGTTTGAAAGACATAATCCAGATCTACCTCTAAAAGTCACTCGAAGGCCAGTAGAAGCCAAACTGCGAGAAGATTAGTCTAGAATTGCTGGAAATTCATTTTAATTAGGCCAAATTTATGTCATACTAGAGCGAGTTATATATACTTTATGGTATATTGGTCCTTTGCATAATCATAATAACTGTCACTTACTTAGCCATTGGTTAAGTCTTTTTCTTACATTAATTGTCTCATTTAATCTTGAAAACAACGCTATGAATTAACTATTAATTTCTCTGTTTTATATATGGGACATTGAAGTTCAAAGAAGTGAAATAACCTTGCCCAAGGTCAAATACATAGCAGAGCTGGGATTCCAGGCTAAGTTCGTCTCATTCCAATCAGTGGCCCCAATGAGTAGCAGAGCCAAAGGAACCCTGGGCCGCTATCAAATATTCTCATCTGTAAAATATTGGGCACAGAGTAGATTGTCTGTAATATCCTTTCCAAGTCTACCAGTCTCTAATTACAGCTTCACTCTTTTCACATTATTTTAGTGGCCTTTGCTGCTTTTTCTGGATTTTATGACACATGGTTGGTCATAACTATAACTTATGGAGTGCTTAGTCCTTGATCTCCTCAGCTTCCAATTACAACAGTGTTCTTATGGGTAAAATACAATCCGCTTCACAAGTATCTGCTTTGCCACAGGCTACGTGATGATGCAGTCACCAAGGCACACTGAGGCAAGGGAGAGGGACTGCTTGTCAGACATCTCCAGAGATAAACGTGTAACATTTGCTTGTTTATACTGCTGTCTTCTCATTATTTTACTCTTATGATCCTCTGTAAAGGCAAAAACTGAAAGCTGACTATCCATAAATTAAAAAAATAATATTAATTGCCGTTGACTGTTTATAATGACAAGGATCTTGGAAGATACAAGTACATCCAAGCACAGCTAGGTTAAGACCACACATCTGGCCCAGAGCAGAGTCACGAGTCTCATCTCCAGGCCAAACATGGTCAGGCAAAAGACAGAGGCATCATGCGTGACCCTTCTGGGGTTTAGCCAGACTTGGAGCTGGATGAAATAAAGAATGTGGCCACTGGGGCAGATCAACAGGAGAAAGGCTCAGGGGATGGGTCACAGGCTAGTCTCTAATTTGCTGGTGGGGCCATAACTGTTGGTAGGCACCGAGCAGGTAAGGGCTGGATTTCAAAAGTAAGGTTACAAATTTTTGAGGTGAGAAATAAATTTGCAACATATTCTTCAGGACTCTCTTGTTTCAGATCAAATACACATATGCCACGATACAGCATTTCCAGTAAGTACCCTGAACCAGAATCTCTGAAAGCCTGCCTTACTCCTACTGGAGGTGCCTCCGAAAAGAAAAGCAGAAACAAGAACTTCTGTGTATCATTTTGTTGTTTTCGCAAAGTACTTTCACATTTGGATCCTCATAATATCCCCTAGGAGTCACTGAGGCTCCGAAGAGCTTATGTAATTTGCCCAATCAGGGATTTTAACCCAGGTCTCCTGACTCCAGAGCTTTTCTCTATGCTACATACCTCTGAATAATAAGACCTTTTTTTCCACAAAGAAAAAATACCTTATTATTTTTAAAACAAAATAAGGGGAAGAAAAAAGTCTCTGTACTTTAGAAGCAAGATGGCTGCTGGCCATTTATCATGGTTGACTTGCTGTTTTTCATAAACAAGAAGCAGTAGAGTCAAAGGGAAAGACCACATGGCACCCATTGAAATGAACACGATACTTTTTAATGCTGGGGAGAAATGAGGGCAAAGAAGAAACAAACAATATCAAAATAGCCTATGAGAAATGCAAAAGACAACTTTCCCATTTTCTAAATTTGGATAGGTTATGATGATGTCACCACCAGCATCGTGAGGGTCATAGAGTTGAACATGGCCAACAGGAGGTAGATTGGGGTCCCAGTTGGCTCCATGGGAAGCTTAATCAACCCGGACCAGAGCCCACCTAAGATAACCTCAGCCAGATCTTGAGTAACTTCCACACTAGATGGCAACCTTTCGAACATACAGAATCAAATTCTCTCTGTGGGTAAAGTGTCCTATTTGCCACCACAATGATTCTTAATTATGGGGTTGATATAAATTTGGGTTTGTTTTCAAAGAATATGCCCTTCGTGAACATTCCCTGAGATACTAATAAATACCCACAAGAGCCAACAACTATATTAACATTTCATAGTTTGCAATTTTCTCTCTCTTTGAACCATACTCCTCTGGATGTAGGTTGGGTGATTAATATTGCCCCTATTCTACTTATGCAGAAACTTATGAGGTTCACAGTTTCTATGACTTCCCTAAACTCACACAATTACTACATGGCAAAGGAGAAACATGAACCCCAAATGCCTGACTTCGTATTTCATGCTATTTTCAAGATGCTGGCCATACCAATGATTAAGTTTCTTGATTAATGTTGTAAATATTCTGCTATCATGTGTTTATCCTTTGCTATGGTCGATCAACTTCAGAGATCTGAGGAGCAGCATCAGACATCTGGTCACATCAGCTCTGTCGGGCAGATCTAAGGAGAGAGTCCAGTTGTCCCCCACCCATACTGCAAAGTGACTTGTAAGGAGCAAAATCATCATCAGTTATTCAGCCATGGACGTCTCACAATAAAAAAGGCTGTGAAGAAAACTTACTCATAGGCTTACAATCTCATGGATACTTTAGATTAAGAGGCTACAACGCCAGACATCTGTTTTTCCCAAGGATGGGGGATAAGATCAAGTGTAGAAGCCATAGCGGTTCAAGAAACCACGTCTAACCAAGTCAACTGAAGGGGAAAACAAGGAAGAGGCAGCAACTCTGCTGCCTCAAAGGAACTAAAAGAAAGGATATTACAATTATTTCCTTTAGCTATAATCTCTGGGCTTGTCCCAAGTGCTTCCTGACAATCTTCCCATCCTATACTATAAAATCTGTCCCCTTACCTCCATCCCACCAAGAAAAGCCATGTGATCTCACTGTCTTAAGAAAAATTGTTAATGAGTCCCTCCTAGATACTCAAAATGTAAGCTGAATTAGCTGGCTATTGCTGTGTAACAAATTATCCCAAAACTTAGTGGCTAAAAACTACCACCGTAATAAATCCACACTGACAGTTGAGGCCTGGGATAGGGACGGAGTAAGGGAGGACAACAGGATTCTCAACTTTGATGTTGGACTTTGAAAGTCTTCTTGTAATTTTTTTTTTCCTTTTCCTGAGCCCTTAGTGAATTGTGGTATGCAGACATCAAAAGCCGCCATCTGGATCCAAGTTCCTCAGATCTTGTTGCTAGCTGTATTCATTTCCTAGGGCTGCCTTAACAAATTACCACAAACTGGGTGGCACAGAAATTTTGTGTCTCATAGTTCTGGAAGCTAGAAGTCTGAAATCAAGGTGTCAGAGGGCCATGTTCCTTCTGAAGGCTCTAAGAAATATCCTCCCTTGCCTCTTCCTAGCCTCTGGTAGTTGTCAACAATCCTCAGAGTTCTTTGACTTATAAACTACATCACTCCAATATCTGCCTCTGTCTTCACATGGTCTTTTTCCCTGTGTGTGTGTCTCTGTCTGGGTCTTCACATGACCTCCTTATAAGGACG